TAAAGCGTCGACCGGATGGATCAATCGAGAGATACAAGGCTCGACTCGTGGCTCGAGGATTTTCTCAACAATATGGACTAGATTATGATGAAACATTCAGTCCAGTGGCAAAGATTACTACCGTACGAGTTCTGCTAGCACTCGCAGCAAGTAAAGATTGGAAACTGTGGCAAATGGATGTGAAGAATGCCTTCTTGCACGGAGAGCTAGACAGGGAGATTTATATGAACCAACCAAAGGGATTTGAGAGTGCAGCTAATCCTAATTATGTATGCAAGCTTAGAAAAGCTCTTTATGGACTGAAACAAGCACCGAGAGCTTGGTATGGTAAGATTGCTGAATTTCTTACCCAAAGTGGTTATTCAGTTGCGCATGCAGACTCAAGCCTATTCATCAAAGAAAGAGAAGGAAATTTGACAATTGTGTTGGTCTACGTGGACGATTTGATTATCACCGGGGACGATGAAAGAGAAATTTATCAAACAAGAGAAAATTTATCAATACGCTTTCAGATGAAAGAGCTAGGAGAGCTTAAACACTTCTTAGGCCTAGAAGTTGATCGCACAGATGAAGGACTGTTTCTCTGCCAACAAAAGTATACCAGAGACATGCTTCAGAAGTTCAACATGTTAGAGTGCAAGCAAGTTTCAACACCGATGGAGATAAATGCCAAGATTTGTGCACATGAAGGCAAAGAGTTGAACGATGAAACAACGTACCGACAACTAGTAGGTAGTCTTATCTACCTAACTTTAACTCGACCTGATATCTCGTATGCAGTTGGGGTTATGAGTCGATACATGCAAAGTCCAAAGAAGCCTCATCTGGATGCAGCTCGACGGATCTTGAGATATATCAAAGGTACAATCGACTATGGTCTTTTGTACAAAAGAAGCAAAGACTGCAAGCTAGTTGGATACTGTGATGCTGACTATGCAGGAGACCACGATACTCGGAGGTCAACCACTGGGTATGTGTTCAAGTTTGGTTCGGGAACAATTTCTTGGTGTAGCAAGAGACAACCAACAGTATCATTATCAACTACAGAAGCAGAGTATAGAGCAGCGGCTGGAGCAGCCCAGGAAAGTACATGGCTAAAACTCTTGATGGAAGATTTGCACCAGAAAATTGACTATCCAATATCACTTCTTTGCGACAACCAATCTGCGATTCGCCTTGCAGAAAATCCAGTGTTTCATGCTAGAACAAAGCATGTGGAGGTGCACTACCATTTCATTAGAGAGAAGGTCCTAAAGGAAGAAATTGAGATGCAGCAGATCAAGACAGATGACCAAGTGGCAGACTTGTTTACAAAAGGGTTGAATACTAGCAAACATGAGAGCTTTCGCTGTCAGCTCAACATGATGCAGCGAATGAGGACTAGTGCTGAGGGGGAGTGTTGAAATATCATCACTAGCCCAATAGAGTCAAGCCCAATAATTGTACTAGCCCAATAGAGTCAAGCCTAATTGTACGAGCCCAGTATATTTATTTTAGTAGAGATTTTAGGAGAAAGAGATGTAGATATTTTAGGAGAAAGATTCAATTTGTTAGGTCTAGATTCAAATCGGTTAGGTCTAGATTTAGATTGGTTAAATATAGATTGTTTACTCTTAGTATAAATACCCCCACCCTACCTAGGTTATTCATCCAAGAAATCTAAAAACAATAAAAAGCAGAAGTATTCTACAGAGTGTCTTGTATTCTCTTCTCGATTGGTCTTAATAAAGAGAGCGAGTGTTTCCCACAGTGAGTTGTGTTCAACATTCAGCGCCCTAGATCGGTTATTATCCTCGTTAAGGCTGGCTTGCCTGTCGATCAGACCATTGCTGCGCTGTCTGACCACTTGGAGCCTGGTGATGCCATTATTGACGGTGGTAATGAGTGGTATGAGAATACTGAGCGTCGGATTGCGCAGGTTTCTGATCGAGGGATTCTGTATCTTGGGATGGGGGTTTCTGGTGGTGAGGATGGTGCTCGCCATGGGCCGTCGTTGATGCCTGGAGGGTCTTTTCAGGCTTATTCTAATGTTGAGGATATTCTAAAGAAGGTAGCTGCTCAAGTCGACGATGGTCCTTGCGTTACTTACATAGGTGAAGGGGGTTCGGGTAATTTCGTTAAGATGGTGCATAATGGTATTGAGTATGGCGATATGCAGCTGATTTCCGAGGCCTACGACGTTTTAAAACACGTTGGAGGGTTATCAAATACTGAATTGGCTGACATTTTCTCTGAGTGGAACAAGGGGGAGCTGGAGAGCTTTCTAATTGAGATATCAGCTGATATCTTTAAAGTTAAAGATGAACATGGCGATGGTGAATTGGTGGACAAGATTTTGGACAAGACTGGGATGAAAGGAACTGGGAAATGGACTGTGCAGCAAGCTGCTGAGCTTTCCATAGCAGCACCAACGATTGCAGCGTCGTTGGATTGTAGGTACTTGAGTGGGTTGAAGGAGGAGAGGGAAAGTGCGGCCGAGGTGTTGAAGGAGGCAGGGCTAAATGACAGCGTGGGGTCAGTGAGGAGTGGGATTGACAAGAAGGAATTGATTGAAAATGTGAGGCAGGCTTTGTATGCCTCCAAGATTTGCAGCTATGCTCAGGGAATGAATTTGCTGAGGGCTAAGAGCTTGGAGAAGGGATGGAACTTGAATTTGGGAGAGTTGGCAAGGATTTGGAAAGGTGGGTGCATCATAAGAGCTGTGTTCTTGGACAGGATCAAGAAGGCATATCAGCGTAATCCTAACCTTGCAAGCTTGCTGGTGGATCCTGAGTTCGCCAGAGAGATGGTGCAGAGGCAGGCTGCTTGGAGAAGGGTGGTTGGGTTGGCCATATCGGCGGGGATCAGCACTCCAGGTATGTGTGCTAGCCTTGCCTATTTCGATACGTACAGGCGCGCTAGGCTGCCTGCCAATCTTGTGCAGGCGCAGAGAGACCTGTTTGGGGCTCATACATATGAGCGAGTGGATCGCCAGGGCTCCTTCCACACAGAGTGGACAAAGCTCGCTCGCAATGCTGGCGCTGGTGCTAGCATTCTCAAGTGAGCTTATGAGCTGCCCATTTGGTTGGTTTTCTTTCTTTGTTTCAATTGGGTGCAAATTTCCAACTTGATTTTGCTTGCCCATTTCAAAAGTTGGTAGTTTTTCTTCTTTGTATCACAATCTGGACAGTCTTCCATGCTTCTTAGGGGAGTTGATAGCAGATAGTTTTACTGGCTTCAAGTATTTGCTATAAATAATAATTAATAAGGAAAAATAGGGGAAAAAAAAAAAAAAAAAGAAAGAAAGAAAGAAAGAAAGAAAGAAAGAGAGAAGCAGTAAGGATGGCCATTAAGTTGTATTGTGTTAGTTATATTTACATCTCCTTGTACTTCAAATTGAAGGAATTTCCCTTTTGTTTAATCATTAGTCTTATTATTCTTCCATTAATGCTGCGTGAAAATATTGAAATTCTGATTTAGACCTTGAGGATTTTGATTATATCAATCTGGCATCTGATCTTGGATGAATTAGAGCGTGTCTGAAATAGTATTGTAGGTTCCTTTTCCTAAGGATTTCTGAAATCTTCATACCTTAAAATGGTTTATCTTTTATGTATGGTTTAAGAAATTGAGGTAAACTAAGGGACGGTGATTCAAACCCATATTGTAATGTATAGTTGAATTAAAATATGGTTCTAGTTAGGCCAGAAAGTGGATGAAAATAAGGCCAAGGAAAACTTGAATTCTCAGAAACCCGCATTACTCTGTAGAACCAATTCTTCATCAGCTTGTGTTATCCATTACCTGAATCTATTTCGTTTTCAAAGCTATGATAGATAGAAATCATGGATAGATGAACACGACTCTCCATAATAGTATGATATTGTCCACTTTGAGCATAAGCTCGCATGACTTTGCTTTGGGTTTCCCCAGGCCTCACACAATGAAGAGAGTATTCCTTGATTATAAACTCATGATTATTCCCTAAATTAACCGCTAGGCCTCACACAATGAAGAGAGTATTCCTTGATATAAACTCATGATTATTCTCTAAATTAGCAGCGGTGTCCCACATGACTACAAATCCAGCCCCTCGAGCCCACCAATGCCCAAAACAAACCCAATCCCCAGCAAATCCCACGTCTTCTTCTTCCTCTTCAACATCGAAACCACTGCAAAGTCTGTCCCTGTTTTCTCAGGGAGCCCATTTGGGTCAGCGGAAGCGTACCATTCTCATCAAACCCTGCACATCTAGTGTTCGACGATTTGCCTAAAGGTAATTTCAGGTTTCGGAAGTGTATTTCTTTGCGGCTTTCCATCGTGTTGATACTGAGTTTTGTGATGTCCCTTTGAAACCCATGAATCGAATGAGTGGAGTTAGGAATGAGAAGCCTGGAATTTTGAAGTAGGAAGAAGCCCAGTTGCTGAAGTTTTGGTGTCCTTGTACCAATCTTCTAACGCGTGGCACCGACAAGGTGTTTGATGAAATGCCAAAATGACTGAAATTAGCTTCTTTGTTCCACAGCCACCGGAGAGATTTGCCGGGAGGCTGGCTCAGTAAAAAGCGACCATATACGGCCTGCGTCGAACCAAGGTCCTAAGCGCCCGTATGCGGCCTGGGTCAAACCAACGCCTTGAAGCCCGTGGCTAACTATCTATCTATGTAAAATGAATATTTCTAACAAATAAACAATAAAATAATAATGTACTTTTCTAAAAAAATATATATTCTTATTCTAAATTATCCATTAACAATTAATTCAAAATTATTAGAACAATTAAAATTTGAAGGGCAAAAAGATTCTGTATTTAATTTTTAAAAGTGTTCAATAATTTATAAAAAAAACACTAATAGTTTTATTTATTTTTTTATTATTAGTTTACACAATTTATTTCTACGATGGCATTTACGTCGTAGTATAATTAATAAATTCCATTAAATTATATTGTGTTTTAGTAATTTTTTAAATACTAATATTTAAATATCAAGAAAAAACTTAAGTACTTAACCTATCTAATCAGCAACTCAGCCGCCACATTAAATTAAATTAATTAAATAAATAAAAAGAAATAGAAGCCCTATGCAGTTTCACCTTCCTCCCACCGCCCTGGCCGCCTACTGTCTTCCACTCTTAACGGTGCCGGCGCTGCCGCTTCCCTCCAGCAGTTCGCAGTGAGTTTTCCACTATCTCCTTACAGGTATGGTTCCAAAATCTATATCTTCCTTTCTTCTTTCGTTCCGTTTTTCCGTCTTTTCTTCTCATCTGTTTCATTTTGTTTTCTTCCATCTCTTATGCTCGTTAAACCCTGACGTTGTTAGTTCCATTTATTCTGTCAGGTTTCCACATAAACAGTGAGAATGCTTCTTCTCTATTGCCTTTTTTTCTTCTTTGATGGTTTTTACTTCCTCTGTTGGTGCTCTGGGCCGCTTCTGCTATCGTGATTTTGATTTCTCTGTTGATTTTGTTTTTTTTTTTGGTTTATACACGATTCTCTGTTTCCTTTTGCTTTTTCCAACCATCTCGGAGCTTAATGCACATGTTGAATCTGAATGAGCATATTATAAGAGAGAATGGGGTTTTCTGTTGGGCTTGATATTTTTTGGTTCTGGGTTTGGGTTTTCGCGAATCCGAAGTAGCTGAAATAATAATTGGTGTCGAGTGGAAAACGTGTAATCCAACGGCTTATAATCTTTTCTCTGTCCAATGTCTATCCAAAACCCTGGTAGTATCTGCATAAAGCTTTGTTATTTTAGGGAACACTTCTCAATTGATGTTAGCCTCAGTTCCGGACAGAAAAGTATAGAATGTTCATTCATCCTTGGATGGGATTTATGGTTTGTTCTTCATATTATTATAGGTTATGGTTTCCTTTTCTGATGGTTGGATGGAATTAAAGCTTTTTTAATATTTGTTTTCTTGTAGATTTGCCCCTGTACTATTTGATCAAACTTGTAAATATCAAGATCTTTTTGAAAGAGTTTGAACCAAGGAGAAGAATTGGAGCACGTGAAACACTTCTTTCTGATATAATAGCATTGAAAGTTAAAGAACTTTTGCTGAAATATCAGGATGGGGGAGAAAGTTGTCACTGCTAGTGGTAAGGACAGGTCAATTCCCAGAAATCTCAATGTGCATAAGTTTGTAGACTCTCGGGCATCTGAGCTTGAAGCTCTTCAATCCATCGTTTTGAATCGGATGAATAGTAATACTTGTGATCAAAGGTCAAAGAGGAGAAGAACTTCTTCTTATTTAACTAATGCTTCTAGGAAAAGGAAAAATAAGAAAATGAAATTGGATACCACCCATCTGGATTTAGCAAAAAACGAGAAGAAGGCTTCTCGGAAAATACGTCGCAGAGCTGAGCTTAAAATGAATCATGGAATTGGATTTTCTACTTCTGGGGATGGCACCAAAAGGCTTAGAACACATGTTTGGCATGCTAAGCGTTTCACTATGACTAAGCTTTGGGGTTTTCATCTCCCTCTAGGGTTGCAGGGCAGGTAATACTTTACTTTTTCTTGTTTAATATTCTTTAATGTCCTGAAAGAAGAAAAAGGGAAATATAATTAATGTAATTGCTGATCTTAAAATGTGAAATTTTTGAAAGAGTTCTTGAGTTGGAATCCTCAAAGATCGGAAGTTGGATCATTAACCTATTTGTTAATGTAGCTTTTTTCTTCTAGAATTTTGTTTATGCAAAGGACAATTGCAGTTCGAGATTTTTATGTGTTAGAACTAAGATCAGTTTTCTGTTATGCAGAGGTAAGGGTTCTAGAGCTCTGCTGAAATGGTACAATGATGGAGTGCTTATACATGATGCTAGCTATTACGTTCCTGTCCAGTTGGAGGGTCCAGAGGTGGGAAGCCTCTTTCCTTTGTGCCTTTCAATTTTTCATGTGAATAGGACTTGTTTATAGTTTTAAATAATTTATGTTTTTCTTGATCATTTGTTTTCTAAAGGTTGTTCTCATGTGCCTACAGGACTCTCTGATTTCGATTCTAGGAATGGTGTTGGAACCATCCATAGTATCTCATTCTCAAGACATTTCTCATGCAATTATTTCTGGTGTTATTTATGGTAGAGCAATTGTATGTCATCTGGTTACTCATTATTACTAGTTTAATGATGCAAGTAGTTGGATATGTAATTACTTAGACTTTGTTCTTCTGCAGCTTCATGATATCAGGGTCCTGGGTGCTAATGCAATTGCTCCTGTAACATATATGTGGCGTCCATGTCCTTGTCGAAAAAAAGAAATCAATGTTAATAATCATAATAGTACTGTATTTAAGACAATAGATGGCATAGACGCGTCTTCTACTTCACGCCAGCTTTGGGTTTGGTTACATCCTTCTGCCTCTAGTGAAGGATATGATTCTCTAAAATTCGCTTGCCAAAAGGAGGTAAATATTATGTTCACGTCCATCAGATTATGACCAATTGGACCTCCTTTTTGTAGCCCTTTGATCTTGTAGGAACTCCCCTTACCCTCTTTTTGTATGCTCTTTCTCTAGTCTATGGGTTTTTTTTTTTTTTTTTTTTTTTTTTTTTTTTTTTTTTTCTGTTTTTTT